GAGCGGGGGATATGCCCTGATTTAATTATGAATCCGCATGGATACCCTAGGTAGGTTATATGCTTTTAGTTTCTCGTAACATTTCATGTCATTGCATTATGAGCCTGCTAAGTTGCATGAAAACGGTTACAGGTACCGGTATGAGTGCGGGTACGGGTATGGGTATTTGTATGGGACACGGCAAAATTGTAAAATGTAGGGTGCAAGGACACGGCTACATATGTATATATTGAGATTAATAATTTACATGAGATTATTATTGTTTTTCAATTCATGTGTTACTAGAGTTACAATTCCTATTATGTTTTTTAGTTTCTTTTATTATGTTGATTATTATAAATTGGAAGCTATTCGGATTTGAACTAGACAGTCAAAACGAACCTTTAAAATTGCAGTTTTGATCTTGGTTATGGGCTGAAACGAACCTGAACTATGTCTAATGAGTTTCAAGAAAATGATGAGCATTGCGAAGTGTAAGATATACATCCAAGAAGTGTTTGACAAGTGTTTTAAATTAAAACATATATCATATAATTGAGCACGTCTGAATAAATATATGCATATATCCAAGAAGTGTCCATGAAGTTTTGGTATGGGTAAGTGTCAGGTACGTGTCTGGTATGGGTACGGCTTCATGCTAGAAGTACGCGGGTAACATAGTTAGCCTGTGAAGCTTATTCACAAGGACTTTTTATGTGTGACACTGATAAGCTTTATCTGATGCATTATTAGCATGCTTTCTTTATGACTTTCTGGTGTGTGGTTTGATCTTGGGATATAGAATGATTTCAAGAAGGGTCAAAAGCTCTTGTTTTTATTTGCAGCTATCCAGGATTAACAGTAGAGCAAGATAATAGAAAGGGGAGATAAAATTTACAAAGAAGACATTTCTTAAGTAACACACTTCAATATTATCATTAGTTCATTATTTACTTTTTTTACTTTAATCCTATAGTATGAAGAAAGATTTGCTCTGCCTAACTAACATCTAAGCAACACATCAAAACATAGGAACCCTGCAGCAGAATGATGAACATGATCATAAACTTTTCCTGTACCCTAAACTCCGTCAACCAGAATATCGTAAAAAGGGTTATAATTTGGAAAGAAGTTGAGGCATCCAACTCAGTGAAATCATGAGTTCAGATCAGAATCTGTTCTCTTTTGCAATCAAGTGTGGTAAGTTATCGACTGTTGATAAATAATATTCTTCATGTTGGATAGATCCCAGTCCAAACAGCTAATGCACATCATGTGTGGCTGATTTTCCTACCTTGTTCTCCTTGGCCCTTTTTTCTTTAAATCTTTTAATGGTAATGCATGATTCTGATCAAGTTGGCAGAGTAGGTTCGTGAGCTTCTGTTTCTGTACTCAAGCACCAATCCAGAAATTAGATCTCTACTCTTGAAATGTGGTTTAAGATTTTTTATTAACAAATTTGGCTTGGGTTTTGTTGATGTGAGCATGGACGTGTTATGTGCTAATGACAAATAGAATATTAAGGAATCCTTCTATACCATCTCTCTTATCCTCTTACTTTTTAACAAAAAAAAATGCTCTCATCTTCAACAATTTTCTCTCAAAAATGCCCTCATCTTCAACCTCCCAACTCGATTGTTATGTTAACCTTAGGTTTTTGAACTGTCACATATTGTTTTGTTAACTTCAGTTTTTTTTGATTTTTTTGTAACCTTAACACGCTTTATTGTTTGTTACCTTTAATTATTTTTGTGGATGAAGGAGGAGAGAAAAAGGAGCGGGATGGAGAAGGGAGGAGTAGGAGGAATGGAGGAGGGAGGAGCGAAGGAACAGAAAGGGATGGAGGAAGAATGAGTAGGAGGAACGGACAAGGAGGAAAGAAGGAACAGAAATGGGAGGAGGGAGATGGAAGGAGGAGGTAAAACGGAGGCTTTTTTGTTAACCTTAAAGCTTGTATGTTAACTTTAAAGCTTAATGTTAAGTTTGTACCTTAAGTGTTAATTCGGTGTGCCATTGATGGAGGCAGTACCGACGAAGGGAGAAAGCGATGACAGGAGCAGCAATGGAGGGAGAAGGGAAGGTTCATAGGTATATGAGAGAGTAATTAAATGTGTTCATGAGGAAATGAGGAAGAAGGGAAGAGGAGGGTGAAGGTGGGCCGAGGTGGAGGAGGGAGGAGGAGAAAGGAGGAAGATGGCGGAGGTGGAGGAAAGAAGGAAGAGGAGAAGATGAGGGAGGAAGGAAAAAAGTTGAAGAGTAACATGAGGTTGAAGATGAGGACAATTTGTGGTGTATAAGTTA